TTATATGCATCACGTGATTTTTAATTTACGAATTTGTTAATAATCAATTTAAAAACTACCTGGCTTTAGACGACCCCCATAGATAGAAATCATAATGATTCCAAGCTAAGACGTGGGAATTTTTTCGTAGTTTCTTATTATGATATGTGTACCACGTCTTACCAGAAGTTGCATGTTTTATTAAATTTGATACAGTAATATCCGTAATTCCGACGACAACTGATAAAAATTCCTATAAAAGCTTCTGTGAATTGCTCAAGATTGCTCAAAACTCTTAAAACTTTCATATATCACACGAATATTCTTTACTAAAACTTCAATAACTTCAATCATGGGTGAGTAATTATTGTTTTTTTTGTTATCCTGTTACTTATTAATCTTACCTTTTTCTTTTTAGGACTTTTTGACGTCTTCGGTGGACATCATGACGATGTATACGGTGAAAAGAAACATAAGGGACATCTTACTCATGAAATAATTGCTGGAGCTGCTGCTTTTGAAGCGATGAAGCACTACGAAAAAAAGAAGGAAGAACAAACCGGACAAAAATCTAAACATGCTTTTCTTAAAGAGGCGCATATCATTTCATGATTTATTGGATTTATTTGCATCTTTTAGTATATTAATATTCTTTTTAATTCAATAATTGTAGGCATTCGTAGCATTTGCTGCTGCTGAAGCAGAAAAGCTCGTTGAAACAAAAGGTCTTGATGCTATTGATAAAGCAAAAGCAAAACGACACGCGGAAGAACAAGCATCGCAGTTATATGAAGGTAAATTATTTATATCGTAGTTTATTTATACTGTAATTCAAACTAACACTTTTTTATCCTAGAAAAATATGGAGGAGAATGTTAATTTCATTTGTTAAAATTATATATTTGTAACATACTGTAAATCCTTGTTTACTAATAAAATACAGTTAAGAACAGGAAGATTTCGAGTCGGAATTAAAATTTGTCTAGTCATAGAATTTACTAATGAAAGTTAGGCCGTTTGCAGTTAAAGTTTCGTTTAACGTTATTTTTTTCGTATTCGCGGGGGGGGGAAATTAAACAAACAAAAAAAATAAACATATAGTATACCGAAAAATCCCGAATATAACCGAAAAGTTCCGATCACCGTGCCAACCATTATACCGACTAATTCGTCACCTCTATTTGTTTAATTTTAGGGGGGAACTCAAGAGATGGAGGGGGGGGGTAACGTTAAACGAAACTTTAACTTCAAACGGCCTTACTAAGATGCTCGATTAATAATTTTGTATAGACGTAGTTGCATTTGTCCTGTAAAAAATGTATAAACCAACGTACACCCTAAAATAAATTGTTAAATGATTCTTTTTTCATTAATAAAGTAATTATATATATATTAAGATGATTTACGCTTCATCAATTTGAACAGATAGTTTTTTTTTTAATTTTTTATAAGCAAATCCTTTATCTCGAGAAAGTAACCTAATATTTTAATACTGTATATTAAATATAGAAAATATACATTTTTATATATGAAATTTTTAGAATAAACCTTTGATTAACTAAAAAAAATTAAAAGTGTAATTAATTTATCAGATAAAGAAAAAAAAGTATCCAGCAGGGAAGATATTTAATTAAAAGTTTTATACGTATAAAATGTGAATTTTCTTTTTCTTATATTCTATTAATAAAAAAAAAAAAATTCATTCTGATAATTTATTGTAGGTGTGTGTGTACCAGTAATCATTGAAATGGATATCACCGCTCTTATAATTCCTACTTTGCAAATTAATTTGCATAAATCATGTGGGCTTATTATTAACTTGAAATATTTCATATTCTTCTACTGAAAAATATGACGTCCCATGCAACTCATCATAAGTATATTCATTTCTAATTAATTTTTCATAAGCCGAACTTTTACAACACCAACACTCTCTATATCGATTAAAATTATCTTTCATAACGAGAAACCACGTATTATTCCCAAAAATGGGGCCATAAAAATGATTATTGAGAATTGCTTGTTTTGGCTCTTTCACGCGGCTTAAAATAGAATTTTGAATAGTACCATTCTTTAATGAAAAAACAAAGCTATCATTGCAACTCTTACTAGATGATTGAAATATAGCTGGTCTATTCCATCCGATAGGATTATATCCACCAAGAATTTCATCAGTATCTTTAACCTTTATAACTACGACAAGATGTGTTTGATTATTACACAAATTCCAAAATGAATCTGATGTAAAACCATCTCTAGTTCCACGAAGAAGTAATTTAAATTCATATGGATTATCTTTTACGGTATATGTATTAACTTTTCTATCAACCCATGAAGCAATTTCTGCTGCATGTTCATCGTTAATAACTCTCGAAAACGGTTCAATAATTCTATTAGGTAATATTGGTGTTAAAATTACACGAGGCGGAAGGACGACTGATGTTATTGGTTGGTTTGTCATAAACTTTTTTGTTATATCATTCCAAAGCTTTTCTTCAAAAATTTGCTGGTATGGTTGCATATAATTAAAAATATCATCATTGGACATTTGAAAATAACGAATATGAGGTAAACAATTCTGTAAAGTAGTCTTTAAAGTCATAAAATTTTCATGTGACCATTCTTTAGGATCAGACTGTAGGCCAGGGTTTTGAGCAATTCCCCATTCAATAACACGATTCCAGATTTTTATTTCTCCCATTTGTAAATCATCCCGACTAATAAGTGATATTAATGCATTTTCTTGAAGCGAGATAAAATCTTCAGAATCAAAAATCTTATTAGGATACTTTACTAAAATATCATTGCACCATTTTTGTAACCTTTGAAGTTTGCTATTCTGAAAACTTTTTTGATGAATACGAGTAAAATTTAAGCGAAGCCAATGAACATCCTTTTCAACTAAGTGAGTTTCAAGATGTTTTGTTAACTCTTCAAAAAGAAATTTACAAGCAATAAGCATAAGATCAAAAATAAATGATGCATCACAATTTTCAAGTACCACTATTTCCTCCATAAATGTATCTTATAAAAATTTAGTATATTTTAGATTTTTTTTTGAAATATAATATAAATTATATAAATAATAATATAAATAACTTACTTAATAAAAATTTCAAATTGTTGGATAGAAACATTTTTTAAATCAATTGTTTTAAAATCATTCTCATCTTTACTGTTATTTGCTAATTCATTATGAAAAAATAAAGACCTGCATCTTAAAATTACTGAATGTGCTTGAAATTTCTTGGTATTTGGCGATTCACCAACATTAATAATAATATTAAAATCTTCTTTGTCATCAAGAAGATCAAGATAATTATTTGAAAGCTTTTCAAAGAATTTTACTGCCATGTTAATAGTGTAAAATATTTACTATTGGTTTATGGAAACTATTTCAACGCTAATGTATAAACATGAACATTCAAAAAAGAATGCATTTATGTAGACAGAATTATACGTTACATAGTTTATACGTACTTTGTCAATGAATTTCCTTTTAAAGAGAGTCCTTAAAGAGAGCAGATCACGTGCCACACGTTTTCATTAACATTAGGGTTAGTGCCCACTTTGGTTTAAGTTCAGAGGAGTTTATATATGTAAAATTACCTCCCCGTCATTTTTTGTTAATGTTCTAAGGCGGGTTTAGACTACAGATTCTTCCATTTTTTGTATTTTTCTCTTTTTTTTCTTGTTTTGCTTCGTCGGGCTGATCCGAGATCATCAAATCTTAACGATTCAATTGGTTAATTATTACGTAACTGCCCTGCTTTTAGGAACCCTTTTTAAAGGCCCAAAAAAGACTATTTATTTTGTGCCGGTACACAAACACCTAAAAAAGGAAATAGCCAATAAACAATATTGATTCTATTAATAAATTCAAAAGCTTTTTAAAATTTCTATTTTTCATTTTAATTCAATAGATTGTAGAATTAAAATAAAAAACTTCATTGAATTAGGTAATATCGCTAAAATACGTATTAAAAAAAGAATATCTTGGAAAAACTAAAATCGAGTAAAATTTTTTCTTTGAACTTTAAACAAGATTTCTCGACAACCAACTGTCCAAATTTGATGAAATATGATTTTATTTTAAAATAGCAGATTTTATCAAATTTAAATAGATTGTCGCCAAAAAAATCTTCTCCAAAAGTTAAAAAAAAAAAAAATTTGCCGAGCTTTTTTTTTTTTATTAAAGGCATCTAAATTTGAACGAAGATTACTCGTCATTTACCCAGTTAATTTGATATAATTTATCTTTTTTTAAAAAAAAAAAAATTGGTCGAATTAATGTCATATATTTTTCAAGGTATAGGCGCCTAAAAAAAAGCTGTGGACAATTTTTTTAACTTAATGAATAGCTCTCAACTCAAATTTGTTTTTTTTCTTCTTTTTTTTTAATTCTATGAACTTATAGAATTAAAATTTTTATCAAATTTGAATAGTTGTTTACCGAGGAATCTTCATTTAAAGTTTAAATAAAAAATTTAGTACAATATTATTTTTCTTCAATTTTTTATTTTAATTCTATAAACACATAAAATTAAAAAAAAAATTGGTCAAATTTTGATGGCTGTTTCACTGTAACATTTACTGTATATGATAAACTGATAAAACAAACATAACATAAATCTATCACTATCTCAATATAATGTGAAGTTCATACAAATAAACAAGTTTAGATGCTTGCTAATAAACTATACCATATCCTTTTTACTCTTAACTTTATTACTAAGGCGCTAGTTTTGTCAAAATCAACTCAAATAAAGTTTGCATAAATCTGACAGAAACTCATAATATTTATAATACAATCGTAAGTGTAATAATATAATATTCTTGGTCTTTAGCAAAACCCACAATCTATGATCAGCCTAATGGTTAGAAAGCTGCCTAAAAAGGTAAACACGATGGTGCTGTGCATACAAACAAGGCTTAGTTAATTAACAATCACTACTGGCAATGTTATATTATCATTATACAGTGGGGTGCCATATTATTGTAAACACTTTTTAAGAATTTGTACAAAGCTAAATATGTAAGATATAGAGCTAAAAATTAAAATATAAATTCTTTCAAACTATATCTTTTAAATAAAAAAAGATTACAAAATTCTATACAATAGTTTTTAAAATAATTAAGTTTTAAGTAAAAATTTAGATTTTTATATCAGTATGATTTTTTTTTTTTTTTTTAGCTCTTTGACAGTCTTGCTGAAGCTCAAATACAATACTTAATTAAACAAACTTGAATAGAATGAATAATGACAGCATAGAAAATTGCAAGCCCAACATCACCCAGCTGCATCTAGTGTATCCAAGAGTGACATGTCGCATCAATCTACATGCAAGTTAGAAGACCTTGTTAGCCCGCCAAGAGCCTATTCTTTCATTCTTACTTTCTTCACTGAGAGCAAAAGAAAATAATATTCCATATTCTTAATACTAGAACATACATCAAGAAGAAAAGGAGTTTACATACAAAAAAGATACAAAGTAAGAAAGGGAAAATAATAAGAAATAAAAATAGAGAAAATGGAAAATGTAAAAAAAGAAAAAACAAAGAGATAAGCCCTAACAGGCTAAACAAGAAAAAGCTATCTTCTATAAGAAATAGCAACTACCTCTATCAAGAAATAACACAAAAACAAAATAAAAGTGCACTATTATAACTCATGCCAAGCAAGTATAAAAATTATATAACAAATACAACATTTGTATATCTCTACTATAAAGCTTTGTCTTAATATTATTGTTTCTTTCTGACCGTATGACCAACTCTGGAATATTTAGTTCTGACCTAATCCATATCTTGAGCCAGGTGCTGCTGCTATTTGTAGACTCATATCTCAAGCCACCTGCTACCGCTATTAGAACTTGGAA